GCAGATCACATCCCCTGGAGGTCCGGGAAATGCGTCTGCCAGCATGTTGCCATAAACCAGAAGCTCCATAGCAAATTTTTTTAGGGTCCTCCATCTTCCCCATAAACAAATTTGATATAGTGTCCAACATCAGCATGCAGCGCAATGCATGGTCCGACAAAAGGGACATTCAATCCTGCCTTTCCTTTTTGTCCAGACAGTTCTGCTTTTGCTTTTTTCTCATTTCTGTGCATGCTTTTTGCCCACAATACACACATTTGCATAACCATCAGGCTACGCACTGACCTGAACCCCAGAGTCTCCAGACTTAGCAGCACCTCCAATCTTTGGTCATTTTCGACAGGACTTTGCAGTGGCTGAACTTTTCACTTCAAAGAAACCAACACTTCAGCTGTTTTTGCTGGCTCCAGACGGTTCCTTCAGCCAGCAGTGGCCGTCCAAAAATGCCCAATCCTCCGACAGCCATTCAAGCAGGAATTTGCCTGCTGAATCGGTTTCGCCACTCCCGTCTCCCAGACGAGAGACGGTGCTATGGCCTTCTTGTCCGGTTTCCAGTCCAGCATCTGGTAGCCTGCCTTTTGGCTGCCTCCTCATTTTAAACTCTTTCTGTGGTTCCAGCAAAACCCCCTGTCAGCTCGAACCTGCCTATCAGCGGCCTCCCAGTGCTTCTTTTGGATTTACAATCACTTGCCAGCCGTCTCATGAACACCAAGATGTCATCTCCCGGGCGGGATCAACTGACTAAATACAATAACTCAGAATGGCTACATTGGGAAAACCCTTTAATGAAATTCCCAGATCAAAGCAATGGTATTCCCAGTAGTCATGTATGGCTGCGAGAGTTGGACTATAAAGAATGCCGGAAGAATAGATTCTTTTGCGCTATGGTGCTGGAGAAGACTCTTGAGAGTCCCCTGGACTGAAAGAATATCAAATCAGTCAATCCTAAAAGAAATTAACCCTGAGTCTGCCCTGGAAGGCCAGATACTGAAGTTGAAGCTCAAATACCTTGGCTACCAAATGAGAAGGGAGCACTCAGTGGAGAAGACCCTGATGCTGGGAAAGATTGAAGGTCAAAGAAGATGGGGACAGCAAAGGATGAAATGGTTAGACAGTGTCATAGATGCAACGAACATGAAATTGAGCCAACTTCAGAGGACGGTGGAAAACAGGAGGGCCCGGCGTGATCTGGTCTTTGGGGTCAAAAAGAGTCGGACTCGACTGTGCGACTGAACAACAACATGCCTTGCAAGTTCACATACTCTGACTAGATGGTCCTGACAGGTTATTAACATTCAGCTTTTACGGCCAGTTTGGTGTCGTGGTTAGGAGCAGCAGACTCTAATCTGGGAGAACTGGGTTTGCTTTTGGCATGACCTTGGACAAACCACTGTTCTCTCAGAGCTGTTATCTCAAGAGCAGTTTCTGTCAGAGCTCTCTCAGCCTCACCTACCTCACATGGTGTCTGTTGTAGGGAGGGAAAGGGAGAGGAGTTTGCAAGCTGCTCTGAAACTCCTAGTGAAGGGCCAGGGGTATAAATTCAATCTCCTCCTCCTCCTTTTCCTCTTCTTAAGTCTACCCTTGACACGAAGCCGCCTGCGCTATCTGTCCTTCCCGCCAGATGTTCCCAACCATTTTACACACTATCGCAATTTTCTTCCCTCCACTCAGTGTCATTGTGGTGGTGCCTGGTCATGGTCCTCATTAAACCCATTTCTGGGTCATTCCATCCTTTTACATTACTTTTTGGGAAAACCCCATTTTGTGTCACCCGCAATTAAAATATGTACATAAACGGCTGCCCTGCTAAGATTTCTGTTCCTGCCTGACGCAGGAGAGCTACTGATTTTGAGCCAAAGAATTTCTTCTCCAGAATGGGGAGAGGGCATGCACTGCTAGCAGCCCGGTGGTTTGAAGCCTTACCACGTTGTTCTGGCCTCTGTTTGGGTTGCAATGAGTTTTGGGCCTCAGCAGACTGCAGAGACAGCATGCAGCTTTGATGGCGGATCCTCGCCAACCCCGGACCCATTGATTTCCTCTTCTGTTGTCCTTGTGGGTGAGGGGAGTACAGCCGTCAAGTGTTCCCTGGTCAGGAACATTTGCGTATGAAAGAGTTATGCTGTGGCACACCTTCAGGGTTGCTTAACAGTGGACCAATTACAGTGGGCCCGCTGGGGGATACTCCTGCTGGAGCAAGATGGACTTGCCCCACTTCTTTATGTATTGTTTAGATGCCTTTCCAAAGATTTGCCTAAGGTGACTTGACTTAATACCTGCAATGAAAGTAGCTAAGCTGTTGAAAAACAGCAGCTGCAGCAGGCAGATCGTTAAAACAGTTTTACAGCCAAATGTCAGTTGAGAAGTCAGAGTATGCCGCCCTCTCTCCCCCTCCCTTGCTCTGCTTTAATGTTATGTATGGAGGGACAGGACGCGGCAGAATGGAAGAGTGCCAGTCTGGTGTCGTGGTTAAGTGCGCGGAGTCTAATCTGGGAGAACTGGGTTTGAGTCCCCACTCCTCCACATGTAGCTGTTGGTGTGATCTTGGGCAAGCCATAGTTCTGTCAGAGCTGTTCTTGAAAGAGCAGTTCTCAAAAGAGCTCTCTCAGCCCCGCCTACCTCACAGGGGCTGATTTCGCACTAGAGCTGCCTCGATGTTGTGCCGCCGTTTGCCCCGATACTATTGGTCAATTTCACACCCGAAGCTGCGGGGCTGCATTTTGACTCGCGGCTTCGCCCGTTTTCCCCCGCAGTTTCGTGATCCTGTTTTTTTAGGATCATGAAACTGCGGAGGAAATCGGGCGAAGCCGTGGGTCAAATGCAGCCCCGCGGCTTCGGTTGTGAAATTGACCAATAGTATCGGGGCAAACTGCGGCGCAACATCGAGGCAGCTCTAGTGCGAAATCAGCCAGGGTGTCTATTGTGGAGAGGGGAAGGGAAAGGAGTTTGTAAGCCGCTCTGAGACTCCAAAGTGAAAGGCAGTGTATAAATCCAATCTCCTCCTCCTCTTCCTCCTCCTCCTCCTCTTCTTTTTCTTCTTCTTCTTCTGGAACTTGGCATGCAGAAGGTCCCAGGTTTGTTTATTTTAAATATTTATTAGGTTCCTGGCATCTCCAGTTAAAAAGGACCAGGCAGTAGGTGGTGTGAAAGACCTCTGCCTGAGACCCCGGAGAGCCGCTGCCAGTCTGAGTAGACAGTGCCCTCCTTGACAGACTGAAGGTCTGATTCAGTATATGGCATCTATGTATATGGTACCCTGGGAATCAGAAATGCTTGAGAGACATAACTAGGCTGCATGCAGCAGTTTTTATCTGTTTAACATTTGATGCCACAGGTTTGCGGCAAGGTAGTACCTGAAGCAGCATATAGTGTACAAAAACAAAGTCAAATGGTGATGGAAAAGAAACAGACTCTTAAAAGGACACTGAAATATCAAGATATGGTCAAATGGAGAAAGCTGGTAGGCCGCCATTGGAGGCAGGCCAGTTTACGTGCAGGCGTGATGGAGATTAAGCCCACCATCTAGCACTCTGTGGCCGATTCTGCATTGGCTTTTCTCTCCGTTGTTTGACGAAACCCATGATGGAACAGAAATTTCCCTCTGCACTGCACGCTGCTTTCACTTCCTTTGATCATCAGATTTTATGGTACCTTCTAGAAAGATTTATGGCCCTTCAGGGATGGCTTTGCAGTCAGTATGGCGTTGCCCCGAGGTATTTGAATGTGCTTTTGAGCGGCACTTTTTTCTCCCCTCTGAGAAAATGTGGACCGAACGTTAGATGCAGAATCACCCTGTGCCGACAAGCCTGCTCCAACTCCTCCATGGAGTTGCACATCTGAGACTGGAAGTAGTTAGGCCACAAGGAGAGCCTGAACAAACAGAAGGAAAGGAAGAGGGATGGGGGGGTGGAACAGCAGTTGAAGTTCTGCCTCAGCTGCAGGGAATGGTGGATGAATGGGAGAGTGGGGGGGGGGGAATTAAGGAGATCAGGACAACTGAGAGCCATGTAGTAGGCTGAGTCGGAGATCTGTGGTCAGATGTACTTTTAACCTTTAATGCAGCCACCCGTGAGCCACTTTGTGTGCTTCCTGACTCACGTACCCATGGCAAACACCTCTCATAAATATTTACACCCAGATGAAGTGAGGCATGTTTTACCCACAGAAGAGATTATCTCCAGGTTGTGGGGGTGGGGACCAGTGTTCCCTCTACCGGCATGAAAGTTGTGAGCGAGTGATTTGTCTACTGCATAAATTAGTTAGATCTGGAGCCCTCCTTCCTGAGCTAAGACAAAAACGTGTGAGCCGGAGGCTAAAAAACTGTGAGCTAGCTCACACTAACTCAGCTTAGAGGGAACACTGGTGGGGCTCACAGCCGCAGCAGCCCTCAGGTGTGTGATTGAGATGTGTGTTTGGTTCAAATGGATTTGGCGGTCTAGAATTGGACACTGTCTTTGGAGCGTAAAAAAAGAATTGCTTTTGTACTTCACTGCTCTGTACAATTTCTTAATTTCCTATTGAGAATCTGCAGAGTTCATTTTACAGTGGCGTTTGCAGAAAACTTGTACTTTGGGGGAATGTGGTGATCCGTCAGCTCCCTGCAGGGCACTCAGAAACGCTTTGTTGTTTTGTTTGAGGTGGGCTCTCTCTCTCTCTCTCTCTCTCTCTCTCTCTCTCTCTCTCTCTCTCTCTCTCTGGGCTGGAGGAAGTTACATCAGTATGCATAATGAAGCAAGGAGAGAACAGTCCGGGCCGTTTGGAGGCAGACTCTTTACTCTGTTCTCACGGTCCGATAAGTGTGCAACTGGCCGTGCGGGAGAGCGTCCTGAGAACATTTAAGGAGTGTGCAAAATCCACATGCAAAAGAGGGCGAAGGGAATCTGGCAGAGACGTCAAGTGAAATTATTGGAAGGGCATGGAGCTGAGTTACAGTCTGCATTGTCTTGACAGGGCTGATTTTATGGGCTACTTTTCTTTGCATTGAATTCGGTGGACGTGTCATTATGCATCGCCAAGCCGCTGCCGCTACAAAGGCAAGAGGTGATAATTATCTGAGCATAAAGGTATGTTGAATCAGATGCAATAATAATAAAACAAGCTTACAGAGTTACAGAAATCCTTTTGACTTTCTAGAAACCAGTTACTTCCAATAATGTCCTAATTATTATTTGTTTGCAAAGGTGGGCTGAGTTTTTCATAGAACAGCTATATTTTTCTTGTTATGTACAAATAAATCAGACCACCCATCCTGAATAATACGTCTGTATAAGTTTAAAGAGAGTGTTCATTTTGGCAGTGAATTAATGCCGTCACTGAATTGGAGAGAACCTGTTGAATCTGCTGGGATCGGCTTCCCCTTTCATTGCCCACTGATTTGTCATTGATTGATTGATAGACTCTTCTAGCTTGTAGTTGTGCAAAATGAATTGCTGTAGTATATGACTGGTTTGTGGGAGACATGGAATTTTGTTCTCATCAGAACATAGGCAGCGGCTTTTATGAAAGAATGTCTCTTGGCTTGCATTGAGGATTAGTTTGAAAAGATAGCCCTTTGTGAAGCAAAAAGTTACAGAACTGCCCTTGTAATCTTATGCAAATCATTAAAGTGGTTCTGGGCTTTTTTTATTGAGAGAGCTGAAACTTGGATTTTTTTTCCCTTTGGAGGTTTTTTTTTTTTTAAATTGTTATTTCCTGCAATGTTTCTCCACCACAAATGATGACAACTTTTTGGATGCTTAGGTTGGAATGAAAGTGCATTAAAGAAATCTGGACGAAGAGATAAGAAAACTTTGCAAGCGCGCTTGCTGATAACGAATCAGTTGCTTTCAAAGAGGCCAAGCTTGGAGGAGGAAGAGTTTTTTTTTTTCTTCTAGAAAGCAAACCTCCTTGTGTGTGTAAAAAAGGCTAGTAAATGTACCAAAACAGGCTTGTGTGATAGTGATGCAGGGCACCCCAGACAGTTCAGCACTCCAGCATTGTCTCAGAGTCCAACTAACGTGTAATGCTGTTGGTGGAAAGTACTGTCAGTCGCAGTCATTTTATGATGACCCTGTAGAATCTTCAAGGCAAGAGACGTTCAGAGGTGGTTTGCCATTGCCTGCCTCTGCTCAGCAACCCGGGACTTCCTTCGGGGCCTCCCCTCCAAGTACTCAGCGGGGCCAACCCTGCTTAGCTTCCAAGATCTGATGAGACTGGCCTGGCCTGGCGTGAGCCATCCAGGTCAGGGCAGTGTGTAACATTAGAGCCAGGGCTATTTTGGGGCAGGAACGCACAGGAACGGAGTTCCTGCTGGCTCCCAAGTTGGCCACACCCAGCAGGAACTCATTAGCATAACAGGCCACACCCAACAGCAGGAACTCATTAGGATTGGCTACATTAGGGGTGTGTGACCTAACATCCAAAGGAGTTCCGGCTACAAAAAAAGGCCCTGGGTTTTGACAACAAACAAGGTAAACAGAATAACAAGCAAAAGGTGGGTGTGGCTGGATGACCACACTTCTGGTAACATGGGGGTGCGGCCTAATGTGCTAATGAGCTGTGCCGTCATGGGTGTGGCCTAATAGGCTAATGAGTTTCTGGTGTTGGGTGTGGCCTATTATGCTAATGAGTTCCTGCTGGGCTTTTTCTACAAAAAGAGCCCTGAGCAGTATATATTCTCCGCAGGTTGAGTTCAACGCCTTTTGTTGCCCAAGGGCTTAGTTTGGACCTGGCCGGCAGTGAGGTGGTTCCAGAAAGGAATCTCCCTATACTGCTGTTGGCTTGGAGGCAGCTGAGCTCCTTGCGGAGTATCATCTCCTTCCTCAGTGCTTCCAAAGCATTGTTGTTGGCTGGTGTCGGGAATGCCAGCCAGCAGCTGGCACCAGGCAGGAGACTGGGGGGTGGGGACATGGGGGGGCACCCCCTCATGACATCATTTCCGGGGCGAACCTGGAAGTGATGTCACACCACTCTATGATTCAGTTGAAACTATGGCAGTGTCTGCTGAAACATAGAGTGGTGTGATGTCACTTCCGGGTTCATCCTGGAAATAACATCATGCTGTTAAGAAGATAATGATACGGAACGTCAGATTAAACTATGATAAAAAGAAACGGGGGGGGAATATGACAAATAGCATAATACTGAAAGTTTGATTTTATTAACATTTAAAGAACTAAGATGTACTTACTCAGGCTAAGTATACTTGTACTAGTTTGTCTTTGTCACAGTAAGCCTTAGTCCTTACTTTTAAAAGCTTAAATGTGGGGAAAACTCTAAATCTTAGATATAATTATAATTCGCACTGTATGATTCTTGCATAACTCTGTATTTTAGTTTAGTATTCCCCTTACCTCCCCTCCCTTTGTAGGTTGTAGTATAAAAGCAATAATAAAGTGTATATATAAAAAAGAAGATAATGATTTCCCCTTCCTAGCCTACTGAGTGGCAGTGGGGGTTGGGGGGGGTCACTAGTGGGAGGCCTCCCACTAAAGCAACCCTAGCTGGTGTCCTTCCGTAAGCCTTCACAGAGGTTTTTCTCAGGTTGAACAGCCAGTTAAACCACCACAGATATTTGGGATCAAAAGGTTTGTAGGACATACAGAGATTAATAAGTAATACAACTTAAGAGAGTGATATGTGTTGTGAAATTTAAATTTAAAATTTGAATGTTCATAGGATAGGGTTGCCAAACCCCACGGTTTGGCAGGGGTCCCCTGCTTTTTGGGGGATTCTACTCGCCGCTGGCCAGCTGGCCGACGGGAAAGCCCTGCCCCCAAGCCCCAACACCAGCAGCCACCCCTCTCCTTTCTCCCTGCACTTAAAGGGGCCCCTTTAAGTGCAGGGAGCTGGCATTTCCTGCGTGCCCAATCTCCAAGCGGAGATCCGGCATGCAAAGCCTTCTAGCTCCCTGCACTTAAAGGGACCCCTTTAAGTGCAGGGAGCTGGCGTTTCCCCGCATGCCCATTGGGCGGGTGGGAGGAGGCGGACGTCCCCAACGTGACGTCATCACATCGGGGATGCTCTGCCCCCTCCAGGAACACCCCCCAAAGTCCCCCGCTGGGGGCTAAAATGGACTTGGCAACCCTATCATGGGAGGAAGTGACCTCACAGTAACAGGGGGAGTTGACCTTTGGCTTGGATGTCCAGGAATTTCCCAAGCCAGAGTTGACGAGCTCTCACTGAGGAAAAATATTTCCTTCCAAGGCAGATAGCAGGGCTACCATCGAGGCCTGTTCGAAATTCTTTAACGTTTATAGTTCATCGTGATATGGGGTTGCCAGCTCTGGGTTGGGAAATACCTGGAGATTTTGGGAGTGCAGCCTGGGGAGGGTGAGGTTTGGGGAGCGGAGAGCCCTCAGCAGGGTACAATGCCATAGAGTCCACCCTCCAAAGCAGCCATTTTATCTGGAGATCAACTGTAATTGTGGGAGATTTCCCAGTGCCACCTTTGTAGCTAGCTGAATATGACCTGTTCAATTTCAGACAATACTTTGTACAAACTTGGAAAGTGAGGAATAGTAGTGCTTAATAGTATTTCTTGGGGTCAAGGGAACTGGATTTGAACTAGAAAGCCAGTTTGGTGTAGCCATTAAGAGTGTCGGACTAGTATCTGGAAGACCCAGAGGAATTTCACATTACCATTTTTAACCCATTTTGAAGCCATTTTTGATCTGTCATGGAGTAAACCGGTATAGGGCTGCCATTTCACACATGGCTTTCCCCTTCCGGTAAAGAGCTGGATCTGAGGCGGTTTGCCATTTCAGACTGCACCACTTTTCCCCGCTTTTCCCCCGCTGTTTTTCGCCCGCATGGGCGATCTCTGGCTTTTTTTTTTAAACGTTCACTTTATAGTGCTATAGCACTATAGCAAAACACTCCAGGCATTCCAGTGGTGCTTATATACTGCCATTATAGCGCTATAACGCTATAAAGCAAGCGTTTAAAAAACAAAAAAAGCTGGAGATTGCCCGCGCGGGCGAAAAACGTCGGGAAAAAGCGTATCGGAACCGGGAGAGGAAACTGAAGACTACTTGGAAGCGGTTGACAGGTAAAACGCTTCAGCCCCATTTCCTAAACAGGACAGAAGCATTTGTGTCTGAAATTACAAATATATTCCGGTAGGGGGCCAGTTCTTAAACAGTTCTGTCTGAAATGATAGACCAGAAACCATTTGGGAACCGTTCCTCTTCCGGATTATATCATCTGTCTGAAATTCCTCCCAGTTTCCAATCCCCGTTTGTGGTATAGAATCTCACTGGATGACCCTGGCCAGTCCTGCTCTCTCAGCCGAGCCTACCTCACAGGGTTGTTGTGAGGATGAAATGGAGGGGAGGAGAATGAAGTAAACTGCTTTGGGTTCCCGTTGGGGAGAAAAGTGGGGTATAAATTAATTAAATAAATTTGGTTGATTAGCGGAATGTGAACGCATTATGACAAATAATCGAATGTATGCATATATGCTTAATCTGTTCATAGATAGGCAATTAAAACCTGACTTGCTGGATCACACCGAGGCCTCTCAGTGACATTCGAGTCTAGCAGCACCTCAGAGACCGAAAAGAGCTCCAGCTTCCTTGTCTTCTCTCTCACCATTTTTCTTGCACTGGCCAGCTAGAGGCCTCCAGGCCCTCAGATCACGGCCGGCCGCCTCCTTGTAGCTCATCGCTATCATATCTAGGATTATGCGAAGGGCCTTTCCCCAACTCCAAAGGTTAAAGGTGAATTTTTCCAACTGAGGAGCAGAGCTATTTATAGAAGTTAACTGCCTCTGAAGATGAAGTTTCCATTTAGCTATCTTGGCTAATAGTCTTGGTATAGAGTTGAGATTGCCTTTAGAAGAAGAAGAGAAGAGATTGGATTTATACCCCGCCCTTCACTACCCGAAAGTGTCTCAGAACGGCTTACAAACTCCTTCCCCTCCCCACAACAGACACCCTGTGAGGCAGGTGGGGCTGAGAGAGCTCTGACAGAAACAGCTCTTTTTCAATAACAGCTCTTATCAGAACTATGGCCTGCCCAAGGTCATCCAGCAGGTGCAAGTGGAGGCGTGGGGAATCAAACCCGGTTCTCCCAGATTAGAGTC